AATTCTTTTTTTTTTGTGCTTATACGACTGTCGAGACTGACATACAATTTATCGTAGTCGATGCCATACATATATATATATATACATATATATATATAATAACTTTCGTTTACACGTTTCTTAAACATACAAATAATGATTTGAGTTCAGAGTACACTTGAAAAATTATGTATTTTAAATTCAATTAGTTTGTATTAAAATTTATTTGCATCATTTAGTAGAGTCCTTTTAAAATCAACAGATCATAAATAAATCAATATTGGACAGATGGTTGTCAGATTAAATTAAAATATTAATGTATCAAAACACTATGATAATTCAAACCTGATGATGATGACGATGATTATCGAGAACATAGAATAGACCAAATGAATCGACTTATTTCCTAGTATGACTTACACAAAAAGGCAATTCAGTGTTGATTGCTGGATAATCATCTCGAATTTCCGCGTTATTCTCATTCATTCTTTTTTCTTCAATATTTATATGATACATTCATACACGAACAACGGAAAGGGAGGACTCTTGCTCTCTCTATCTCTCGTTTTTTTTTTTTTCTTTCTCTCTCACTTACGTTCAAATACTGTTTGTACAAATTATATGACAGATAATCATTTTGTGCTACATATATGCACGCGCAAGATTACGTTTTTCTTTCTTACCATAGAAAATCAATCATAATTCGTTTTTCCATAATGAAACAAATGTTTTATCTTTTTTTTTAATACCTGTAATGACAATTGAGTATTTGTACATCTGTTCTTTCTCTCTTTTTCTATGTCGCCGATGGCAATAAAAAGAAAAAAACTCAAATGAACAGTACCATTTTGAAGGAAATAATGTCGGTGATTGACAGCTGTGATATTATATGACGACATGAATATACGGTATTATATTGGTGCTTTGTCAGTGATGGCACATCACATTATACGCTCTTTTGCAATAGATGTATCGCCTCAAGACACTTTTCACCCTATAGCCATTGATTATGTAATAAGAACAACAACATTTATGCGAGTGATCACTTCTAATAAGATTGATTTGGAACATGAACAAATAAACATTCCATACGACTCACATATGAGTTTAAAGTTGACATTTAAAAAAAAACTAATATTTATAATTTATATATATATATATATATATATATTAAAATGACCATTGTTGTTTTTTCTTCTATAATACAATTATTTAATAGAAAAGAAATTCATCTCTTTAATGAATTATTATATCATTTTCATCTTATCAGATATGTATGCGTGATTGTTGTTTCATCAAGAATAATCTGAACAAAAACTTCTCATTTCATATTGAATATCAACATCATGTTTTGTTGTTACGCTATAATAATAAAAAAAATACTAATAGTTATCTAAAAGATTCTATGTAATTTGTTTCGGAAAGATATTAAATGATCTTTTTATCATAATATAAAGTAGATATCTTGCTAATCGATATTATTACAACATTTTTCTCTTTTTAGAATATTCGAAATGTCAATGTTAAGAAGCATAGATTATCATTAGGAATGTACAAGAATAATTCGAGTGATTAGCATTTTCTTAAGAAAAAAATCAGTTTCTATAAAACAAAAATTATTAACAATTTTATTTGCTTCGAAAAAAAAGAAGAAGTTGTTCAACAATGATTTTAAAGGCGTAATATAGTAAATCAATTCAAAAACAATTATTAGCTGCATTAACTAAATGATAAAATGAATTCTTTTTTGTTCTAAAAACAAACATTTCATTTTTGACGTCTTCATATTCATTATAAATATTATTTTATTCATTCGCCATCGAAATCAGTACCGAGAATAAGTGCACGTTGATATGCATCAAATTTTTTCAATGATATTTTAGGTAAATCACCAGTAGAACCTAAACAAAAACAAAAAAATAAATAAATAAAATTAAATATCAATTTATATTTTACTAACGTGTTTGTACTAATTCTGTACTCCAATGTGTTAATGTACAATTATTTTCTACTAATAATTTACGTTCTTTTCGAAATTTATCAATTGTATATCCTTGTATAAATGTTGTTGGACTCATACTAACATAAGCAACAATTCTTAAGAAATCTATTGGTTCATTTTCATGTTGTTCTTCAATTGAAAATGCAGGTGTATTACAATGTACAAGACGACTATCCCATAGAACAAGATCACCTGCTTGACATTGAATAAGTTTTCCCATAGCTCGACCTCGATCTAAGACTGGATGATCACGTGGTATCATAATAAAATCTTTTGGTCGACGACCAAGTTCAACTAATTGTGCAAAACGTAAATGTGTATATGGAACAACAACTAATCCACCTGTTGTTTCATTTTGATTAGTTAATGAAACAAATCCTTGTATACAACATCGATTAGGTTTTAATATGGGATTTTGATCAACATGATACCATCCACCTTTAGTTTTCCATTTTGAATCATAACGCCAATCACGAAAAATACCACAACCATCAAATGAAACTAATAATTCATTTGTATTCCATATTTGAGAATAAACTCGTTTTACATTTCGATTCGAACGAATATTCCACATAAAATCAGATTGACCAATACCACAATTATTTACAACACCATGAGATGGAAAACCTGGCCTAAGAAAATTATAAACAAAAAACCATCAGAGAAAATTTCTTGTTTTTTTTTTTTTTTTTTTTCCTTTGCTTACCAATAACTTGACCATGTTGAAGGATCATCACGTCGAATATGACATTCAGGAATAGTTTCAAAAAATTTCCATAATAAATCTTTATTAATATTAATTTCATCTTGTGATAATACATCACTAAAAACTGCATAACCATGTTCATTTAAATAATTAATACCATCATTGACACTTTCATTATTTGTGACTGAAAAACGTGGTGGTACTGATGAATAATCAATACGTAAGCCATTTTTATCAGAACTATATATCGTTGCCATAATACTTTTTATTTTTTATTTTTCGAAAGATAATGAAACTCAATTTACTACGGTATATAAATGAGTAATTTGTTGTTGTGACATTTTTTGTAAGAATTGTGTAATAACGGGCACATGTTTGAAAAAAAAAACATACGAAGTATTTCGCAATAATAGAAATATGTTGGTTGATAAGAAAAGTTTTCTTTTAGTCATTAATATCATGTTAAATATTGAATGAAAAATGAAAAATCTCTAACAGTTTATTGTTATTTTCTAAGGATAATCAATCTTTAGGACAATGGTCTCTCTTATTTATTTTGAAAACAATTTTTACTGACACTCTATTTTTTATTTGCCTTGTTTTTCTTAATTTAACATTATTATTATTTCAGTCATTGATTTATCTGGCAAATAAACTTGCCGTACATGTCCATAATATATCTAGAGCAGGTCTCACGCCTCTTATGTTAATTGTATGACGATTTTGAGAAATCGATACATCACTACCAGAGGTCTCAATGCGCCGGGTCGAGCCAATAAAAACCAGCCCATGGGCTATCAATCTCGGCCCAGCCCAGCCCATAGTTTTTTCTAAAAAACCGGCCCGCCCATGGGTGCCCATGGGCCACTAATCTGACTGATACTTTTCAGACAGACATGTTGAGTTGCCATGTTAACTGAAGTAATTAAGATGCTAAGCACTTCATCGTATGGCGTCACGAGTTTTCTTTCTCTAATTAATTCTTGCTAGGCGTATATATGTCAAGTCGTCATTTTGTGTCAAACGCAACTCAAAAACGGAAAATCTGAAATTTTTCATTGAAACGTTAGGTGAAAGTATCAAGCTGGTACTAATATCAGTTTGTTCCAATCTTCCAAAAAATGTTCTGTTCGTCGCATATAGTCTGCAAAAACGACAAACTAAAATAACTTAGCTGCGATATAACTAAAATGAAGACAGTCACAAAAGTTAGGCGCCACTCTGTTAACTCATATGTAGGAGAGCTTTAAAAGCAGCTAATTACATATAAAGAATCACATGGATAATTAATGAAGAACTTTTACATGTCTGATTTTCAGTTACGATTACGCTTTCATCCGATGATCATTCGCAAAAAAAATTCAGTTTTACCTTGAGAAAGAAGTTTTGATAATTTTCGTTTTGTTTTAAATTCGGCCCCATGGGTACCCATTGAAATTTCGGCCCATGGGCTGGATGGGCCGGGCCGGGTTTGGCCCAGTCCAATCAGACCTCTGCTATAGACGATGAGGAAGCATACGACAAAGTAATTGACTGCATGAAGAGAATAATGAGCTACAAAAAAAGGTGAACATGTATTATCATGTTGGAAAAAGCATTCATGTATGTATTAGCAATTATGACGTTAGACACCAACATTGCGTTTCATTTCAGCTCTATCAGCAATAAGAAAATATATATGTCTAGTGAAATGGATCGCATTTCAGAAGCAACAAGGCGTTTTCATATAAAGTAAAAGTTTGAAAACTGTATCGTGACTGTGAAAGGATCTGCCGAACGCAACTAACTTCAAGCTAATCGTTCAAAACCTTCGATTGAATATGGAAGAACAAATGTTAGTTATATATCATCAACATTTTATCGGAATTATTGAATAAGAATATGCAGAAGTTTGATTTTTCTGGAAATTGGAACTTGCTACCCTGGAATTTTAGTTGTAAGATACTGCAGATTACAATGCACAATTTGCTAGACATGAAAAAAAAATAGTAAATACTTTCTTCAGATATTTTTGAAAAGTTTGATAAGTTTTATCATGTAAAAAAAAAGAAAAGAACATGCTCCGCCATTGTAATACTCAGTGTAATTAATAATGTAAGTGAAATTCTTTGTTCTATTTCGTAGTTACTTATTTAATTTCATCTTTGATACAGACATTCAATAAATAAAATCTGTTCTTGATTTTGCCATAGAAAAATATACATTTATAAAAAGTCTTGCTTAGAAGGAGTGATAATCATCAATAAGAAAGCCATTAGTAACTTCACTAAGATTAGATACATGTCGAATTGTAGGGCGTCCATGAGGGCAATTCTAAATAACAAATTCAGATATTTCAATTAAGTGTATTTGTTTCTTGTTTACCCATGGTTTAGCTAATTGACCAAGATGTTGAACAACATTTATCATTTGTTTTCGTGTTAAATCAGTACCAATCATAATTGACATTCGACAAGCTTTCGATGCAAATACTTTTCGTAATCGAGATGATTCATAGTGTTGTTCTTCTTGACAT